ATAGAGCATGCTGACGACACTATTGTTCGCTTTGGAAATAAAGTTTGTTTAGAACATTGAAAGTAATTCTTGGGGAATTTAACGGATTCTTTATAATAAAACAAATAGAGAAGCCTTAACTGTTGTCTGTTCTGCTGTAAAGCACTTAGGAAGCGGCTAGAGCACGAAAGAAGTGTAGGGGGAAACACTCGACTATGTCTCGTGTTTCCCCCTACACTCCTTTCGTGCTCTAGCCGCTTCCTACATGCTTTACGACAGAACAGAGCACAGTCGAGGCTTCTCTATTTGTTAAATTGTCCCACTTTTCAGATCGCTTCCTGGAGCGCTTTAATTGCAAAATTATGGCAGCAGCCGACAACTATTTTCGCTTTGCTGTCGCCATTTTGTTTGTTTATATTTGTTCGCGAAATTTTTAAACGTCACCGCAACGATCTGAGAGATCGATCTGGAGATCAAATTCGCCGCGGTCGGTATAGAAAATCGCTAGGTGTGTCGCCGGCTTTAGACGAGGTCTGGGGTGAATCACTCGGCCCAGATCTTCCTCGATATTGCGATTACTTGTCATGCGAGAAAAAACACCCTCAGCTGTCTTTCTCTCACGGTTTTTTTTACACAGGATACAGTCGTCAGTAATAGAGTTGATTTTTCGGTTAGGAGATTATGATCCTTCAACCCGATTTATAAACATAACCGGTTCACGTTAAATTCATCTTGACTGTGATTTGTTCTGTTCTTTCATTGCTTTTCACTCTTAAACAATAGTATGAGTGCGTGTTTTCAGAGCTATAAGCGTTTTCTTTATTCATTGTTATAACCTAAATGCGAAGTTGGATAGGCCTCTAATTTACGAATGCTCCGCGCGTACTTTACGCGCAACGCGTGGAACCGCGAAAGTTCAAAATAAGGCCTAGGTTCAAATACTCACACGTTTTCTGCCATATTAAAGTGTAAAACACGAAGCCTTTTTTCAACGTTTAAAGGATTGCAGGTCACTGTAGTAAGCTCTTTATGAGCGTGTTATGGATACAATTCTTCAGATACAAAACAGATAAATTCGATCGTAGATAATTTTTCTTCATCCACGATGGATACGATCGATTCGAGTCGGGCTTTCTTTTTCTTTCGTAAATCAAGAACCTGGGTGTTTTCACATTGGAGGCAAATTCCTAAAAAAGGCTCAATTTCTTTCATATATGATAATCCTCATTGATCTAAGTGAATTTGCCATATGACAGAACAATGGCCTAGGATCCAGTCAAGAGCGAAACCTCTTCTGCTGCGATGTCAATTAAATTAGCTTTAGTTTTTGCCTTAAAATTATTTCTACCTTAATCCCGGCCACCATACTCTTGCTCTTCCTATGTTTGTAAGAAGAGTCCCAACGCAAAGATGGCGATCAAAATTGCAAAAGTCTGCGATGTTTTGAAATCGTTACAATATCTACTTTTGTTTGTTCGTTGTTCCCAATTGACCTCATGAATAACATCAGCACAACTGAGGGCGCGAAAGTTAGTTGCTAAAAGGCTAGTTTATAATTAACGATGAAAGCGTAATCAAATCCGTGGACTTAAGTTTGGGAACAGTGAAATATAAATTATTATTTTGATAAAAGTATTTGTCGCGTACACCCTAAGTTTCGGACCAGCCCAATTTCTGTCTCATTCTTTAATCAAACATACTCCCCATTCTTAACGAGGCGTGAAACAAGATATCTGGATGAAAATTGCTTTCTTAAAATAGTGGACACAACACGGGAAGCAAACCTTTTGGGCAGTCTCTTATCTTTTTTCTCTTTTTTTTTCCTTTTTTGGTTAAACTTACAGAGTATAAACTTTGGATTTTGAAATGCAAGCAAACGGCTTCTTAAGATTCGGGTGAAGATCTTGTCTAAACAAAGCTAATCATTAGCGGTAAAAAATGTGATTAAGCCTTAGTAACACACGGTGCAAAGGTAAAATATACTAAAATTGATAGAGACAGGTTTGTAACGTGCAAAGTATAAAGATCCATTTAATATATTTATTTCCGTTCCCTAAGTAGCCATCAATCTGGTTTTCACATCGTCTGCTGAGAGTAGGAAAAAGATATCCTGACATTGAACCACCTGGGGCTGTGCTATCATAAAAGAAACGAGAGAAGTGCTCTCAGTTTGACAGCTCCATCCCATGAAAAGAAGACTTCCTCTTGCCTCAAACAAGCCTTGGTTGAGATGCATCCGTATTTCCAACTAGTTTTCTTTTCCTTGTTGTTGCGAATTCCTCTGGCTTTAGGTAAGGACTGAATTTCATGCAATTTACCCACGTGCCTTTTATAAATTGTTGCCTTTTGCTAAATTCCTCTGTATTTTCCTGCTCTCCTTGTTAAGTTCCACTTCATTTCTGAAAAAACAGTTTAATCATCTCAGGGCCGTAGCCAGACTTCAGAACAAGGCGAGGCAAGTTTCGAGCGCCGAAGGCGCGAGCCGCTTAGGGGGTATGGGGGCATGCCCCCTCAGAATATTTTGAAATCTAAAGGCTTAGAAATGTTCTTTTAAGCTTTTCCGTGGCATTTTTCTTCAGAAAAGTTAATCTTTGGCCAAAATCAAGACGAGACAATTGTTGTTTTTTTATCCTTTAAAGACTTGACCTAAGCTGAAATTCTTCGAGCTCTCTTACCTTTCCCCACTTATTTTCCAACATTCATATCACTTACATTGTAAAAGACAAATTTTAACTTTTGCACATTCATTTTGTTCGAGAATATGTGGTCGAGTTCCCCTAGTTAAGATCCACTGTGGTGACTCGCGAAGGAAATTATAATCTCCTATTTAAGACCCTCTTCTCGAATCAAAGTGGACACGTGTTTGTGTGCTTGTCGTGTTTGTTCATTCTTTATTATAAATGATTTCCAATAGGAGATTGTGTAGATTTGGGTCTTGGAATGGAAGATGGAGAGATTCCAAGTGATAGAGTTACTGCTTCTTCTGAACAAAGCGCCAACACACCGGCCAAGAATGGTCGACTGAAATACACATCAGGATCATCATGGTGTGCAGGAACAGGTGACACTAACCCATATCTACAGATTGATCTACAGACAATTCATATTATCTGTGCTGTGTCCACTCAAGGGAATTCCAAAGCAGATCAGTGGGTGAAGGACTACAAACTACAGTTATCCACAGATGGAACATGTTGGAGAGACTACAAGGAAGGTGGACAAGTTAAGGTATGGACATAAACTGTAAGACTTGGCAGTTCAAAGAAATTATTTAAAATATGATATAATAGACTATACAGGCAGATGAACAATATTGTATAGGTTTGATGATATCAAAGTCCCAGCCTTAAAAAAGGTGGTAATTAAAATGATTATTTTAGAAATATATGTATGGTATATATTAAGTCCATATTCCGAGGGAATAACTCAATTAGCCCCTGGCCTTCATGCTGAACCTGGCTAGCTTTTGACTGGCATTTATTTGTCATATGACCACTTCCTTCAAGTTGTTTCTTTACCCTCTCTCCCGCCCTGAGGGCTTTCCTTGAGTACTCAGAGGCTCTTAAAGCTTGTTTTCTCATTTAAGAGGCCCAAGCAGATTAACTATCTCTTTTGGTCACTCTTTTGTGCCAGAAGGGTTTGGTGAGGGGGTTATTAGGTTTTAGTACCCATGCCTTTTTTCATCTTTGGAAAAAGTTTATTATTATGTTGAGGTATGACTGTATATTTCTCTCATAGGTGTTGAGGGGAAATAGTGACAGAGACACAACTGTTAAACATGTAATTTATGGAGTGTCAACAAGATATCTTCGATTCCTGCCACAAACTCAGCAGGGTGGGGTGTGCATGAGAACAGAGGTGTTTGGAGTGCGACAAGAACGAGGTGAGTTTAAAACTTAATACATGGCTAAGTATTGCCCTGTGTTGTAATGCATGTTTTGTACGTGCATTGCATTACAATGCAAGATTAGTATGCACATTATCCATACTGTTCTCTATGCATTTCTGAGGTGCTGACATGTAGAGTTTGTCTAACAATCAAGAGCTTCTTTAGTTGGTGATCATTTCCTTTGTTCTCATGACTTT